AGTTTACTATGACCTGGATGACTGAAAATCTGCACAGACAAGTCCTCCCTGTAGTTTACCCCCTCACCTGCATTATTGATCAGGATATCTAGCCTCTTCTCTCTGTGGAGAAAGTTCTTACAGAATTCCCGTACAGAGCACAGATTGGCCAGATCCAGCTCCATGTGAAGGACGTTCAGACTGTGACTCTTGAACTTAATCTCCCTCACAGCCTTCTCAGCCTTGTCCAGGTCTCTGCAAGCAATGACGACACGGGCACCTCTCATTGCCAAAGCAACAGCTGTCTCCTTGCCAATGCCAGAATTCCCACCTGCAAACAAACAAACAAAAAAATATAAACATAAATGGTACGTTTACGACTCTAATAGGACAGCAGTAACACGGACTGCGATAATCTTAATGTTATAGGATTATCAGGGTGCAAATAGTGAGATTTGGTGTAAATGTCATTTAGCATTTCATGTCAAATTGACTACATCAAGTCATATATAATTTGTACTTTATATATATATAAAGTATAACGTTAGTGCAGTAACGAGGAAGATGATTGTAACAAATAAACAAGGCGTGTACCTGTAACAAGAACGGTTTTGCCATCAAGTCTTTTCAGATCGGTGCAATACCTCCTCTTTTTCATACATTTTAAAATGAAAAACGAAACTAGAGATGCGATAATTGTGTAGAGAAAATACATTTCCCTGTAAGTAACGTTACTTAGTTACCTTGAGAACTGCTATTTTAATGATTAGCTAGCTGCTACTGATGCTACTGGCTAGCTCGTTAGCTTGCTAACTGACTAAGAAAAACCCCATTCTCTCCCGACTCTTCCTCCATTCTGGTTGTTGTTGCGCTAGACGTGTCCGAGATGATCTATCTATTACTCACACACACCAGAGGACAGTTAGTTAGGTTAATATGTCAGCCCCATCCATTTCATTCTGAATCACTTTGCAAGATGAAGACTAAAATGAACTACGCATGCGTCAAATGCTAAAACAAACCCCGGAAAATATTGCGAGAGTTTGTTTAACGTGAACAAGTACAGGCGCTAACGGTGAAGTAAAATGTTGGGTAAAAATTGTTTAAAACGAAATTATAACCAAGACAGTGCGCGTATTGTCAAGCATATATATTGTGTATTGGTACGTAAGAACAAAAGGTGTGTTTAAAACCTGCCGACCTTTGATAAATTAACGTTTGTGAATTTATAATTTAATAATTGCCTTCGGAAACTTGTGTAACTTTAGCGTAGTTATGCTTGTTTGTTGTTTGAATGAACTTTAACCAGTTGATGTTTCAACAGATGTAATTAATTTTGATAGATCTGGGGAGTACTTGTCAGGTAAGTTGCTGGAAAAAAATGCTGATTTTCCACCAAATTTGTCATTTGATTTAGAATCTATTAAACATTAAACTAATTTTGGATCAGATCCAAAATGATTTACACTGCTAAATACCTGTTGTGAATACAGTATATTAATTATGGTTTTAGGTTATCTTTATCAAGATACATTCACTTGCTTCTAAACGTATTCATACCTCTTCCCATTTTGCACACTTGTTTTTAAATGAATAAATTTTCCATTTTGCACATTAATCTGCACTTCGTAAGCCTCAATGACAAAGTCAAAACGTTTTAGTAGTTTTTTCCCCACAAACATTAAAAATCTATTACTGAAATCTCTCGTTTACTAAAGTATCCAGACCTTTAATTCAGTACTATGGTTTGTAGAAGCAGCTACATCTTTGATGTTCATGGGCAAGACTTTTCTCAGCTTGCAATCCTGAAAATATCACATGGTGCTGCTGTGAAAAGATCGAATAGCAATGACATATATTTTGCAGTTGTTATTATTACTGCTGCCAACACGTAACTGTGCAACCATCTGGCTAATGATTGGTTGGATCCATGACCGCACATATTTCTACTTTAGATTAGCAAAACTCTGTTTACATCAGGACTGGTTACCCATGTGTCTCCTCCATGTTTTCTGTTTTTCTCTGTATTAGTGCACCCCACTAAAGCAGACCCTGCTTATGAAGTCACCTTGGTGAATGCAACACAGTGGCAGCACTAGGCACCCCGAACATAGCAGGGCAGCTTAGGATGACATGGAACAGCTCTTTGACTGGAGGAGAGAAGGTCAACATAGAGCTGTGGGGTTACAGAGAGTTCAACAGCAGCACAGAGGCGAGGATGAATGGATCATACTCCCTGCAGGCTGAGCTCAGCTACCTGTACTCCCTCACCAGGAATGTGCCCAACATTGGTTCCTTCAGTTTTATCCCCAAACCCTCCGATGGATACTCTGACTGGGAGCTGGGGAATATCCGTATAACTACTAGTTCTAAATCAGAGCAAGGTATCATAAGACACTCAGAAATATCTTATTACATTATAAAACATTTTCTGACGGTATTTTAATCATATCTGTAAAAAGTGCATATTCATTGTGATTATGCAAACTTCACAACTGATAAGAATCGGCACAGTTGTAGGGAACAAAATGGTCAAAAGTGGCATGTAGAGTTGAAAACGCTTTTAAAGTACAGTATATTTACTTTATACCTATCAAGTGTCAGAAAGTCAGTGCTGTTGTGATGAACTCTTTTTTTCTACTATCAGACATTTTATAGACTAAACTATTAATTACTAGGCAAAAAAATCATCACATAATTGTTCATTTTGGCCATAGTTTGAAATGTGATTTTAGGTTAACAAATCAGAATCTAGTTTGAATATAACTGTTTTACACACAGGGATGTTCAGGGCCTCTGGAGTGGAAGTCATGTCTTAGCCTGGCACTTAGAGCAGACTTTCAGAGATGACTCCGCCGCCCGGGCCGAGAACAAGTGTCTGCAGCGGGACGTTGTGGAGAAGAAACTACCCACCTTCCTCAGCAAGCTTACTGACTGTCCGTGCACTCTGGCACAGGCCCGAGCAGACACAGGCAGGTTTCATGTGAGTACACCCTCCATGATGAATCTGATTTTATTTCTAATACTTTTTAAAAATAATTAGTTGCCATAGCAGCAGTAACATCACTATCAGCGCAAGTATGACTGTAGGTAGTGTTAATAACAGCAATAGCAACAATTCCATAATTATAGCACAGTCTCATGTAACTGGTTGATGTTTGAATGTTTAAAGTAGGGTTACTTCTCCTGGTTAAACTAAGGATTTTTGACATTCTATTAACAGCAATGCACTCTGTCAATTTGATTAATATTCTGGTAACAGTAGAGGAACATCTGAGTCAGAATGACCTTTCTTTTACAAAAAATAAACAATCATCAGACCTTTGTTAGGGAACAGTTCTAAAAGCAGTATAATGATGGTCAGTGCAAACAAATGCTTCATCTCTGTGCTGTTTTAAGAACTTTTTATATGAGGTCAAGGTTTGCAGGTTATGCAAAGTTCCTGTTAAAGAGTTAATTTGACATTCTGGTCAGTAATTGCACTGCAGTGATTAATTTGCAAATTCAGATAATTGTAATTCCTCCTGATTCCTCTAGTGATAAGGAAACAAGGACTGTCCAGAATAATTTAGGAAACATGCTTTGTGTTAAATCATTACCAATGTGATCAGTGTAAAGGTGTGTTGTATTAGAGTTTTTATTCTAATTCTATTTATTGCCAGATATTAAATTACATTAATTTAAGGCTAAACTGATTTTCATTATCAATGAATCTGTCGGTTATTTTTAGTCTATAAAATGTCAAAAACTAGTGAAGAAAAACTGATTTCTGGGAGACATATGTTGGAGTGAAGTATGTTTACTTAAGAAGCTTGAAGCGTGATAAAAATAATTATTGGATTATTTCAATATTTGCCAATAAATTGTCGTTCAATTCACTAATTGCCTCATCCATTAATGTTTGCTGCTCTGTGTTTATTATTCTTTATCTGGGACTAACTTTCATCCACTGTGTTCTTTCAGACTGACTACAGCTGTGACATTAAGCAGGGCAGTGTGTTCACTTATCACCCCGGTAGTGTCTGCTGTGTCAGAGCAGTTCAGGCCAGGTGAAGGTGACGGGAGGATTTTGACCTTTTAAAAAAAAGAAAAGCATTTCTCCCTCTTTGACATGATTTTTCTTTGATATTTCCAGCCCTATGCATGGATCAGGGCAGAAGTGCTGTTATGACAGCACGGGTGCTCTGGTGCTGACAGGAGACTCGATTGGTGGCAGCACCCCAGAAAGGGCTCACGAGTGGGGATCACCTCCATACAGGGAGCCCCCATGGGTGCCAGGTTACTCCCACGGGCTTTGATTTGATTTGATTTGATTTATTTATTCTTTCAAACATGTAACAACAGTCAGTATGTAACCACACATAATTCCAGACATATCCACAAATATATTTTCAATTTGCTTATACCTAGTACATGCTTGAACCTTTCATTAAATAGTTTATGATGTTACGAGTTTTATCTACTGCTGCCTGTGGTCTGACAACTGCCACATCTACCTCAGCCATCGACCTTCTACGGGATGTCGTAACTACAAGCCCTCAGAGCAGGTGAGACCATTCTTACATCAGATTGAATATATTTATAGGTCTGAGACTGTCAGAATATGTTTAACAAATATCATAATGGATACAAACTCAAGCACAGTACCACAACACAGCTATGATGATGAACACTTAATTAACCAGAAGAAAGCTCTCTGGTTCAGTAGTTTCTTTGTTCAGTTTGTGGCTTGTTTTAGTCAAACATCTGGAAATAAAACAAAGTTTTCCTCCACTGAGGAACAAGGTGTGGAAATGTTTGCCTTACACTCAGATATTTATAAAAATAATAATATTGGGAGTTCTACACTAATATGACAGTTATTATTGCAAGGGCCAAAATGTGTATTTATGTGTTTGTTAATTTGTAACTAACTGTGTCTGTGTGGCTACACACTTGTGCTGTATTCTGGCGTTAGAGCCGCAGGCAATACCAGATCAGTCTGCAGGAGAAGTAAGTGAATTACACACTGCAGCTGATAATAAATTAGATCATACAAACAATAAGCTGCATACTGATATTAGAAAACCAGTGTTTAGATGTATGAAAGATCAGATCATGTTTATGTGTATTTGATATAAATGCATCAGGGCGTTGTTTCTTCATGCCTTACAGGTGTTGTCCTCGGAGATCCACATTTCATCACGTTCGATGGCCTCAGCTACACTTTCAATGGAAAAGGAGGGTACTACCTTGTGTCTTCACCCGAGCTGAGTGTCCAGGACAGAACAGAACAGGTGGAACCTAAGAACAGTGAATGCACATTAGGTTTGACTAATGAGATGCTTAATCCCCTCATTTATCCCCAAAGCTTTGTTCGGATGAAACTGTTTAATGGTTCGATTTGTGTCTCCAGCCACAGGATTGATTGCTTGTTTCTGAAGTTGCTCAGACATATTGGCCATGTTCTTTCTTACTGCACTGATTATCTTCCTTTGCTTCAACTCTTCTCATATGATGCATGTCAGGCTCCCCCTTATCTTTTTCATATTTCTGAGAGCAAGTGATGTCAGGTCCTTGTGTGAGTGAAACATCTTTCTGCTGTAAATGATAATCTGCTGCCTTTTTTCTTTCTTGTTTTTGCTCAGTGCCTCTAATATTCTCCTTATTAAATCAGTGAGATCAATGCTTACTACATAATGTATAATGGTCTTATTTACCACCAAAGGCACACTTGTCAAGGCCACACAGCTGTTGTCAGTGGCTATGAAAGAGAAGGCCTCTGATGTCATTGAGGTGCGTCTAGCAGAGGGCCATCTTCAGGTGCTAAGGAACCAAAAGCTCCTGTCTTTAACTGAGCAAAGATGGATGGACCTTCACGGTGAGATGCTTACAAAAGCCCTGACTGAGTTAAAGCTGCACTAGACATTGTTGCACGTTGGCGACCCAAAGTTTCAGGAATGAAACATGTAGGTAATAATGAAATAAAAGCTTGGTAGCCTTCTCTAAGTTTTGCCCATTTTGTGGACAGAAAAAGTTGAAATTGGGAAGAAAATCTTTGAGTGGCAAACTCATGGACTTTTAGTGATTCAAGCTGTTAATTAATGACTGAAGTCTTGATTCACCACTTCATATGCTGAGAGTTCTCATCGGTGCCATTAAACTTTGAGTAACGTTGGTCGAAAGATGTGATAAAACAGCAGTATTTTAACCTGTAAAGCTAGTGCAACCTTAACTGAATTGACGTCTACAGTAGTACTGTGAAGTGTATTTTCCATGTCTAGTTTTAAGTTTTTTAATCATTTCTTTTCTAGGAGTGTTTGTGTTCACTCCCAGTCCTCACAGAGTAACAGCAATGTTCCCTTCTGGTGCTGCCGTGGATGTTTGTGTGCATGAAGTAACGATGGCAGTGACTGTCCTGCTGCCAACAGAGTTTACCAACCAAACCCGGGGTCTCCTTGGTGTGATGAACTCTGACCCATCAGATGACCTGTTGACCCAACACAGAGAGGTCATCTCCTCAGCCAACGCCACATCGGAGGAAATCTTCACCTTTGGAGCTGGCTGTGAGCGTAAACGACTTTTGAACAATCAATCAAACCGATCACTGCTGAATTAACCAGCAGTTTGTCTTTTAATCTTGTGTATAAAGCCTATTTTGTGTGTTTAAATGACCATATTTGAGACACATTCGGCTAAAACTTTGACAAATGCTGCAAAAGTGCACAGGAATTCATTTTTCTTGGAAAGTGGCAGTCAGTCCAAAAATAATCATTTGGATTTCCAACCAAAAAATCCAAAATGTTTCTCCATCTTAACTGTTGTTTCTTAAATCCACAGGCAGTATCTCCAAGGAGTCTTCCCTTTTCACATATGACTCAAAGTACCTTTTGGATACTTACGGTTTCCCACCAAGCCACAACCCTGCTTTTGTTCCTGCCTTTTCTCTACCTGTGATACCTGACAACCCTCTAGTGGAAGACATGTTGAAGATTTGCTTTGGAGAAGGGGCACAGTTCTGTAAATATGACACCCTGACTACTCGGCGCCTCACAGTGGGAAATGCCACACTCAGTGCCTACAAAAACCATCGGGCCCTAATGGAAGCCCTGGAGCCAGGTACCGTGTGAAACACGATTCATTTCTGTTGACTGACTGGTTGTCTTTTGTACCTGTAGGCAAAAACAAGATGTATTTGTGTCTGTTTTGGTTGTGTTTGTGCCAAAGGGTAATTGTATAATTTGTGGACGACTGCATGTTTTGTTGTTGCTTGCTCGCATGTGTCTGGTTAGGAATTCATCCGTATGCCACAGTCGTACCATAAGAAAGCCTAATAAAGTGAAGCTTTGAAGTTATCAGTGTTCAGACATCTGCATATCTTTCCAAAACATTTGTTTGTCACTAGCGAAGGCAACATAAGGGTTTTAATGTTGACTGTTCAGTGTGTCATTATTCCTTAGTGGTGACTTGTGGCTGGCTTCCCACACCCAGGAATGGGAAGAAGAATGGGACACATTATACACCAAGGAAGACTCTGACCTTCTGCAATGAAGGCTACAAACTTTATGGGGCAACACAATGCACCTGTCTGGATGATGGGACCTGGACAGGAGAGCAATCCTACTGTATAACAGGTGGGCTCTAATGTAAAACAAATCCATCCATCCCCTTAGCTACAGAGTTTTATCCTATAGAGGGTCACGGGGAGGTTGGAGCCAATCCCAGCTGACATTAGAAAAGAGGCGGGGTACACCTGCACAGGTTGCCAGTCTATCATAGGGCTGACATTCATATTCACATTCACCTAAGCTGCATGTGTGTGGACTCTGGGAGGGAGCTGGAGTACTCAGTGAAAACCCACACAGGGGCCAGGGGAATATGCAAACTCCAGACAACAAGGCCCTGATCAGCCGTGAGGTTTGAACCCAGAACCTGTTTGTTGTGAGGCAACCGTGCTAACCACTGCGCCTCCCACATATCAAGTCTTTAATATATAAATATTTCCTGCCTTATAAACAAAAGTCGTTCTTAAAAACAGATATATAGAACTTTTGGAAAACTGTCCTTTGTGGTGCATTGACACATTGACAGAGTGAGGGGACTAGCCTGCAGAAAAACATTGCATTCATGAGCCATGCTGTCAGAAATCAAAGCCAGAATACTCAGCACACATGGATGTTATGAAAATTTGATCTTTTTCCAATTTACATATTAAACACAAAGAGGGTGAGATTTCAAAACTGCCATTTCTGGCAACAGCATCAACAAAATTAGCTGATTTGATTTGCAGAAACACCTGAAAAAGATTAAATTATCATTGTGATTACCTATTTATCTCTGTACTAGCTGAGCTTCATACTGGAGGATAACAGTCTAAACTGTAATGCTCTTCCATTAAAAGTATAATATCACTTCTGTTGGGTTAAAACATGCAATGTCTTTAACTGTTTCTGTTCAACGTTTTAATTGATGCGTTAAGTATCTGGTGTTCTTTTTGATGTATTCACTTGTGAAACAGTTTGTCACGATTGTTCTGTAAAGGTATGGTACCACCTAGAGTAAATGAATATAATTATTACTTAGTCCTCATGTTTTATATTCAGTAACATTGGCAGCATCCTCCAGTGAAAACCGAGAGGGACATTTGGAATCATCTTCTAAACCAGTCTCACTGAAAGCAGATATTCAGGACTCGTCTCTGTGTCTTATGGAGGCCATTAGCTACAAAGCTATAAACTTCTGAACCTGGATTGGCTTGGCTTTGTCTTTGTAAATTGGAACCACCTGTGTGCTTCTCATAGTTTCATTCATCACCAACCTTGAACTCTCAACGACTGTTGTTGTAGTTGCTGTCCGTTGCCATCGGGTGGCAGTATTTCCCACTGAATTCCTGGTGTTTTGTGTTTGTAACAGAGCAGGTTAATGCCTCCTTTTGTCCTATTGTGTAGTGGAAGCAGGCCGGTTTTTAGAAAACCTTGAAAAACAAGTGATAACACAGTAATTATACATTAATATTGCAGTGACATAAAGATTGGATGGAATTAGATCTTTATTTTCTTAATTGCACATCTCAGATTTCAAGGGTTTTGGCTTCTATCAGCTATAATGCAGTGAGAGGGAGCTGAGGAACAAAGCCACCTGACTTGTGATCCACCTCCACTTTTATCTCCATAGCTTCACCCCAGTCCTTCTTCCTTTCCTTGTTAGAGCTGCAAACAGAAACTTCCTTTTGATCGTAATCTGGGAGGCTTAATATGTCATATTTTGAAACAACTGGTTGGTTCACAGCAGGGTGCAGTTGATCCTAACTCCTTCATTAGGTCAACATGTTGGTCTCATAACTTGGCTATCAAGTGCAGAGGCGTTTAGAAATGTTCTTTATTAAGTCGGGTGATTTATTTAGGTTTTTGTTTCATTTTGCTCACCCTGACATGCTTTGTGGATGTCTTGCTCTGGTTTTAGTTAACAGTATCTCACAGAGCACTACTGCTGAAGTCTTCTATTGAAGAAAAAGTCATATGCACTAGATTTGATTTTTACAACATCACTGCAGTGAGTTATTCTGAAAGAATAGAAAATATCGGCCCTCTTAACTGTTCAGTTGATGACACACTCACATTTACATGTGCTGTATAGATAAACACAGCAGACTGAGGCAGAGTTTCAGCTCAGCATGTTGTACACACACAATGGGACTTTTTAGCTGTCTGACAGTGATCATGCTTGGTCTGACGCTCTCATTAGATAAATCAGAGCTAGCAATTGTCAACGTGACCCGAGGTGCTCAGGTGGTAGGTGTTGCATGAGCTTTTACCTCTGCCATTCAAATGTGACCTCTAACCATGTAAACAATGCTAAATACAGACCAAGAGACGCCTGATGGATCTCTCTTCCTCCCCTTGTATGAATCACTGCAGCGTGATGTGTGGGCTGAACAGCCAGAGAATTGTAGTCATAGCTAAGATGAAAAGTGCTTACTGCTGAACAACAAATGCCACCGCATCCAGTTTGACTTCTTCTGAGTCACTTTAATGAGCCACTCTTGAAATGGCACCTGTCAACAAAGGTGACAGTGAGTCTCTTTCATCAAAGGTGGATCTCTGTTTGAATCTCGTCCATCACTAGACTCCCCGACTGTTTGAGATGGATTACATCCTGCTGCTGTACCTGTCACTGTGCTTTTTAAAGGCTTTAGTCTTTAGACAAGGGTGTGGTGTATTGTGATGATCAGTGTTAATATCCTCTGCTGTAAAGGTGAGGGTGGGGTTTGGATAGGAAGTCTTTTTGATCTGAGTACAGGCAGGGCCATGGTAGACTTGAGAAGTATAAAGTCATAGAATGTACCAGCTTGGCTATGCCTTGTCACGGTCTTCTGAAAAACAGTAGCCCTGGCTGTGTATCAGATGCATACCAATAATGAGGCCGCCCCACCTTAATGGCATTGTAATACTAATAGAGTTCCATGCAGGGAGGAGATGAAAGCGATTAAAGGAAAGGTGACAGCTGCCAGAGAGACGCAGAGCGATTTTCACAGGAAGAAGTGACGTGGGTTGCAAGACAAAGCCTCACTCAGTTTTCTGCCTTTGAGACAGAGCCGTTGAGAGCAGAGAGAGAGACAGAAGTGGTTCGTAAATGAGGGCTGCATAGTAGAAGTTGTTGAAATGCCAACCGAGAGCAGCTTGGCACTTTTAAACCAGTCATGCTGCTCACACCTTACTGTCATCATGTGGCCATTTCTGTCAGTGTATAAAGGTAAATTAAACAGGCTTTCTCACCCCCCTGTCACACTGTAATTCCAACTTCCTGTTGCATTCATTATTTCTCATTCTTTTTTTCCTTCATACTGTCGCACGGATGTCTTCAAAGTGCTTGCTTTGGTTGTCACAGAGAGGATGGTGGTGTTTGATTGTTGCTTTTGAATGGGAGAGGGGATTGTAGTCCATCTCAAACCTAAGTCAGATTTACCCAAAAACCATTCCTGCACAACTTTGGTCTATCTACTACTTTGAGTTTGTGCCTATTCACAGATCACTGACATGTCTGAGGACCACAGCTGTTTCCATGCTGGGGTGAGGTCTAAATCTGAGCATGGATGGAGTCAAAAAGCAGCATTAGAGAGAAATGTTTTATTTGACTTCTACCAGGCTTTGGATTTTTGCAACTGTGTGCTTATTAAATTTGTATATAGAATATTTGATAGCTGAAGTTCGTTGTCTGGCACACGGTTCAAATTCAAAGAATACTTCCACCCATCACATTAAGTCAGACAGGGTGTGATACACAGTTCAGATGGCAACAGTAGCTTGTTACAGAGACGCACACTGTTACCAGGGAGAGAAAAGTCAACAGAATTATTTGAAGATGATATCAGCACTGTCAAAAAAACTCATCTCTATCTTAGATGCTTTACATTCTAAGAGTGTAGCTCAAGGCTGTATGGGTGTGGAAGAGTTATGAAAACAATCTTGAGTTTCTGATCAGTATCGTCTGTTTGCAATTACTTTAGGAGATAAATCCTGGAAAAGGGATTGAATGATGAAGAGTTCAGACAATTTTTTTAATTGAATTTGTAGCAAAATGTAAAAATAATCACTTGCATTGAAGTACAGATTGTAGACATACTCTGCCATCTTTGATTTGCATTGAAACCACCAAATTTCTGTTTTCTATCAGCTTTAACTTGTTTAGTCCAACTCCATGATGTCTATCATGTGTTAATCCTCTCTTACTGGTAATGTAACAGTCCAAACTGAGTGCTGTTGCTCCCTGGAGCTTTCCTTGATCAGTGCAGGCTGGTTCAGTGAAGTAACGAGATAGCTTTGGGTTTTTGCCAGCAAATAAAGTTGATGTTAACACTGATTGACTGTCAGTCCTCCACATGCACCGGTGCAGATATGCTCTGGGATGCTTGTGGCATTAATGCTGCAGCCTTCTGTCTCCTACAGTTTGATGCAAGTGCTGCTGTATTGAAGGTCTGGCCATGGGTAATGAAGCTGGTTTAGGTGTGTATTTCACTGTGCTCCTGCATGCAAGTGTGTGTTTGATGTTCCAAGGCTGACATTTGACAGGAGCAACAACTGCAGTGTGTACCTGACAAATATTTGCCACATTTGACATATGTTTGTCCTTTAATGTGTTAGAGGATGACTGTACTTTGATAATTATCTTTTCCATAACATCCGTATAGTTGCCTGCCTTAAAAACACATCTTGCTGGGTGTACTGTATGAACTGGAGTATGGTGTACTGAACTTGCCACCACCCCAAGGGAAGTTTCAGATGATCTAATTTTTGCAAGCAGTGTGAAGGCAAATGCTGGGAAAATCCAGTAAATGGAAGTTTTATCAGTCCATCCAGTTCTGTACTCACTGCTTGTTTAGAGCCAACGTATCATTTTTGTTTTGTTTGATCCTCTTTGGTAATTATAAAAACCAATTCCTGCATTTGCTGATAAGCTGGCAGAACACAGTGCTCTTTTGTGGGATAGCTGAACTCGACCCGCATTACACTGTGTAGATTACACAAGGACGAAAATTAGAAATACTCATTTCTTTTTTGCAAAATAGGTTCATGGGCCAATCCCAATTACACCGTTTTGTCTTGTTAGAGAAGAGGTCAACCACTGAGAGTTTTTTATGCAGGATTTAAAATGTGGCTATTATCCTGCATAACTAGCTCTTATAGGTATTTTGAGACCTGGGTACTAGATTACAAGATGGCGTCCATTCTTTCCAATGAAAGTTGCTGCCTGGTGCATACACCAAAAAAAATTCTATTTACTAATCCCTGTGGGGAAATTTCTTACTGATGGTGGTGCTGTTAGCTGCTGCCTGGTTATCAAGGGCAACTGGGGTTCAGTGTCTTGTCCAAGGTCACATTGACATGTGGAGACCAGAATCAAACCACCAACCTGCCATGTGGGAGATGACCACTCTGCCTCCTGAGCCACAGCCACTCAGAAATAGTTCAGATTAGCATTGTGCGTCCCACTGCACATGACATGAATCTATGATGATCAACTGCCTCGTGTCTTATTGCACAACAAAACTGTGTTGGTCACAGTAATGGTTAATTGTATACTGTATGTATGTGTAGACTTTTGTCCACTTGCTGAATTTATTCGATATTTCACAGAATGCGCCAGCGTGTTTAATGTCCACTGGTAAACGTTGGCTAAATATGTAACATATGGGTGAGAAAAGACAGAGTGCTGCATCAGACTGTGACTGGGTACTGGTCAGGGTTTAATTGGAGTTTGTGAGGAAGGGAAACCCTTATCCCAAGAGGGTGGGCCATTGGGTATGGGTGAGAGTGTGCAGAGTCCAGAGTCACAATGAGCCACTGTTTCATCTGTAAAGAGATGTTATTGTTATTGATCAATTTACTAAATGTCATTTTTAAATGCCTGTATAACAAACTACATTTGCCTCCATATTATTGGTGAAATTTTGGAGGCAGGTAATTCAGTTCAGTCTAAGGATTTACATGTCCATATACCACTAGGGAGTAGTGTGAACATTGATTTATTGCTTTTTTGGGTGGGTAAAACGAAACTTTAAATGAATTTGAAAGGAAAAAACATTTGTCTCCATGATGGACTCTGAAGTCCCAAAAGACAGTGATACAGCACCTTACATATAAAGGCCTATACCAAAATAAAGGATAGACTATTTGGAAAATTTGTTTTGAATTAATATGCAAAACAGTGAGATTCCTGCCTGTATGTTAAAGCAAACATATTCTTGCACTGGGGTAATTACAGTAACTCATAGGCTGAGTAATGTCAAATTGTTTTCATTATTAGTTCTACTATCTGCTGCCTTAATTTAGATTTATTTTAAATATGTTTCATGCTGCAGTAATGCCACAGCAGCCAACATTATGCCATAATGTTATAAGAGCAGCTGACAAACTCCCTGTTATAATCAAATTTAAACAAAAAGAAAACATTGGACTTTTTCTGAAAAAACAAAACATCTAGCCAAACTTCACCAGTGGTTCGCAGCCATAGACCTACACTATGGCTACTGTACCATTGTAAAGGCCTCAGTTGTTCTAGCATGTTTTTGTGACTTAATCCTTTATTTACCCAGGTAAAACTGACTGAACAGGCATGGTACAGTATATTTCAACCACACCTAGTGACATACTCAAACTGTTACACCCATCTTTACTTTCGAGCTTCGGCCACAGGCCTGGTGTTGGCTATTGAGCAGCTCTGCTTGATGCCTTGTTTCTTCAATTTCCCCCTCATGCTTTTATTTCTAACACCAATGCATCTCGTGTAGCTTTTTGACTTTATATTGACACCGTTATTAAAAGATATGCATAATAGATGGATTGGAAGAGGTTGAAAGCAGTGACAAATTGTGTTGATGTGATTTTTCACAGATGATAACATGGGATTTGTACTGGCTGCTGTTGGTTCCCTCTCAGTACTGGTCACAATGGGGGTCATGATCGCAAGACACAGCAGGAAACAAGACAGGTGGGTTACACATGACTCACCTCTTTGAAAAGTCAGTTCCTTTGTTCTACTTAATAGTGGATTCAGAAAACATTCAGAGGCCTGTATTCTTTCAATTTTGAAAGAATACAATTTCCATTTCTATCCATCATTATATGCTTAATCACCTATGATCAAGTGAAACCATGGTCACAATTGCTCTCCCTTAAAGACTTAAATTAGTGTTTGGACTTAACTTTGTCCAATATATACGTTATATCAAAGCCAGGGTTTGACCTCATCAAAATCTCCGATTACAACTTTAAGGCTAGATATAAACCGACTGCAGAATCAAACTAAGAACTTCAGGCTATCTCCATCTGTTGCTCCTTCCCTCAAGTGTAAACTACCAATGGAAAGGTCTCCACAGGTCAGACAAACATGTTGGAAATAGGAGCCCCTTATCTTGTGAGAACCACTACATAGCTAGAAGTCTTCTTCCCCTTCCATTTCCTCCCAGAGTCGAAGCCTTTTTTCCTGCGCCAACAAAGACACACAAACAAAAAAGCAGTGAATTCCACCACCCGTTTGATAGCCAACATGTCTCGGCCACCAAAATGGCACTCATAATTTTCTTTCTGATCTGGTCAAACCCTGTGGGATCATAGTCATGACTGCAGTCCAGAGAAATGAGAGGTAGCACTAACTTCTGGGCATATAAAAGCAAATTAAAGGCCTGTTTTATGTGCTTGAAGAGATATGCTGGGCTTTCCCCCAGCATATCTCTGGTGGGGGAAGAAGAAAGATGAATGTCAGAAGTCAACAGTCACCTCCAGCTCCTAGCAGCACTTGTGGCAGGTGGGGGATGAAACAACTGTTTTCAAGTCGTGAGGGCAATGAGCGAGCACACCTGCCCTCTTGAAGCCTTGATAATTGGAGGCCAGGTGTAAAAAGAGATGAAGAGTGTCAGAAGGTCTGCAGATGTGTGGGTGGTGATTTCACATACATGACATGCTGATACACATGCTAGCATGGGAAGCCCAGGACACACACAGTACCCTAAATGCATAGAGGGAAATCACACCATGTTGGTCACACCAACATGCATGAGCACACACACATATTCCCCTATTCCCACATGGTTCTCAACATTAGAGGCATGGCAGGATGGAAGTAGCATGGGTCTTACTGTATTTCAGATCAAGTCTGGGTTGTGTGTCTAGAGGATAGAAGCAGTGATACTACACAAATTTGTTTGTGCTCGTATGTGTGTCTGTGTGTGACAGGTAGATAGTGAAGGCCTCTTGGGCCTCAGTTCCCTGTGTGTCAGACTTGGAGGGGTACTTTCCACTTCTAAGATTACTCTGCAGGTATCAACAGGTCTACTGGCAGCTCACCACAGCAGTAAGAAAGTCATTACCCCATAAGGTGCGAGTCTGTTTGTCTGTGCACCATCGTGTCTGCTCTGCTTCTGTTATGTGACGGGGTTGGTGGGGGTTCAAAATGGACTGGAAGTGCACTTAGCAAAGTGAGATAAACTGTCTTCATACCAAGTGTCAGGAAATTCCTGTTTGAAACAAATTTGAAATTCACAGACAGTCGAAAACTTAAAGCTCTCACTGGGAATGTAGATCAGACTTTTACAGTGAGAAAAGGACCAGGGGTGAACTGATCCATCAGTCTGGATCAACGCATCAATCAAATAACCATCGATCTGTCATTGAAGTAAAGCATAAGCATTGATGTTAGATTATATTTGATTGTGACCTCAAGCAGCCACATCATACACATTACCACTGAAGTACAGTTCTGTTCAAACTGAACAACAGGTGACACAGCTAGTATTCTGTTTCTTTTCTTCTTTTGTCTCT